TGTCCCCCAGGCTGGAGTACAGTGGTCAGATCTCAGCTCACTGCAAGCTCCGCCTCCCAGGTTTACGCCATTCTCCTGCCTCAGCCTCCTGAGTAGCTGGGACTACAGGCGCCCGCCACCTCACCCGGCTAGTTTTTTGTATTTTTTAGTAGAGACGGGGTTTCACCGGGTTAGCCAGGATGGTCTCGATCTCCTGACCTCGTGACCCACCCGTCTCGGCCTCCCAAAGTGCTGGGATTACAGGCTTGAGCCACCGCGCCCGGCCTCAACCAACTTTTTTAAATTAAAATTTTTTCTTAATTTTGAATTGTTTAGATATGACGTCTTGCTTTATTGCCCAGGCTGGAGTGTAGAGGCTATTCACAGACACCATCATAGTGCACTGCAGCTTCAAATTCCTGGGCTCCAGTGAACTTTCTGCCTTAGCTTCCTGAGTAGCTGGGACTATAGGTGTGTGCCACGGTACCAGGCTCAGCCAGCATTTACTAAGTACCTTCTGTGTGCTAGGCATTATGTGTGTTGAATGACAGAAACATGGTCTCATGGCTCCCAGGGTATCCCACATGACTGTAGAACAGTGGGGTCTATGAGTTTTGATATCACAGTTTGGAGGATGCCACTGACAGCTTCATGGGAGAGCTTGGCTACAAGTTGGGCAGAAATGATGGGTGGGGTCTAGGTCGTTGCAGGAAAAAGGAGGAAACATGTTGGAAGGAGAGAGCAGGGGGACAGGAGGACCAGAGACTGATAGAGTGGATTAGGCAGGAGATAAGAAAGGCTTAGAAGTCAAATAATCTCGAAAGAGTACAATATTTACTCTAAATGTGTTTTTTCCCCTAATAAGGTAATGATTGTTTTAAAGAATTCTGATGTTGTAGAAATATAGAATGTAAACTCCTTGAGATCAATGACTTTGGACATTGTTTACCTCAAATCCCCAGATTCTAGCACACTGGCTCACAGATGGTAGGTGATAATAAATATTTGTTGAAAAAAACAAATAAATGGAACAAAAGTAAAAGGACCACAGAATCTCACCCATCAGAAGTAAATATAATATAGTTAATGGTTTGGTAAATATTCCTTTAGATTTTTTCCCCTTTTATATGTTAATATATATTATTTTACAAAAATAGAATCATACTATTCATATAGCTCCATGACTTGCTTCTCTTTTCTTTACAATGCATCTTGAACACATGTGTATGTGAAATGCCTACAACTAACTCATGCTTGTAAATAGCACTGTGGTATATTATGGTATTGTATGGATGTGCAATATTTTATTTTATAATCTCTTGATGGAAATTTGGGTTGTTTCCAACTTTTTGCTTTTGTATACAATACTGCCATAAGCTTCCTTGTATGCATATCTTTTTAGCACTTATGAGTCCATGTTTGTTGGACAGATTCCTAGATGTGGAATTGCAAAATCAAAAAGATGTTAATATTAACATTTCTAATAAATGTGGCCTAATTGCTTTCCAAAAGATTATACTAGTTTGCATTCCTACCAACAGTGGATGAGAGTGTGTTTTTTCACATCCTTACCAACACTGGAATTAATAACCTTTTTCATTTTTGCCAGTCTGATAGGTGAAAAAATATTTCAGGGTAGGTTTATTTTGTATGTATTTTAGAGAGATTGAGCATATGTTTATACATGTATAAACCATATATCCTTTTGGGTGGGAACTGTCTATTCAAATCCTTTGCCCGTTTTTATTTCTGTTTGTTCTCTTCATTTCTCTGTTGATTCACATACTGGGTAAAAGGTATCTGCAAATATCTTTTTCTGACTTGCCTTTTGTTCCTGGACTTTCTGTTATACTGGAAGCCTTACAGAATTCAAAAATTTTTTATATAGTCACATTTAGAAATATTTTCCGTTTGGTCTCTGGTTTTTCTCTTTTAATACTTTTATCATTAAATTCCTTTCTTCCTTCCTTCCCTTTTTTTTTTCTTATTTACTGTGGCATCTTTAGATCATTTGGAATTTATTTTGATGTAAAGTGTGATGTTGGGACTTGGTTTGAATTTTTTCCAATGGGACTTCATTTGAATTTTTTCCAAATGGTTATCAAGTTGTCCCAATTATTACTTGAATTAGGCACATGTTCCTCACTAATATTTGAAATACCACATCTACCATAGATCATATTAAACTCTAAAAGGAATGTAATAACTCCTATGAAGAGAGCTAATATGACAAATTAAAAGTGCCTTCTAGAGAAATCTACTTGTTAGTGAGCAGCCGATGACATAACATGGTACAGTTAGTGAACAGATAAGCCCCCTGAAAATAGCAACAAACCCAAGGGCTTTACCTCTGTTGAAAAGATGCTAGATTTCCAGCAAGCTCCCAGGTGGTGTTTCTGTTCTAAATATCACGCTTCACGCGGTAAGGTGCTGGACATCTTCCATTTGCCCTGCTGACACTCTCTCCACTCTGTTTTGTGCCCCAGGAGGCTGACTGTGTAGACTGTATCACTCAATCTTCCCAACAACCCTTTTCAGGTGGTGCTATCGTTATATCACCAATTAATACATGAGCAAATTGAGCCAAGATAAGTAAAGTAACTTGCCTGAGGTCACACTGCAATTGGTGATGGGGCTGGGTTGAGCTCTGGCAAGTGGGCTCCAAGGTTGTGTTCCGACCCCGTAAGCTAAGCTGCCTTTGGATCTCATTGCAGCCTGCCCAACAGCGAGTGGTGTGGTGGGAAATCCTCGCCTGGGAGTCAGGAGACCCAGATACAAATCCTCCCTCTGCCGCTTGCATGTTCTGTAACCTTGGGTAAGTCGCTTCCCTTCTCTTGAGCCTAGACGTTTTCTCATCTGTCAACCTTGCAAGGTTGTCATAGGGTGAAATGAGAAAGTACACAAAAAAGGAAGTCCAGCAGTTTACAGCACACAGTGGGTGCTCAGTAAACAACAGCTTTTATCTATTACCTGGGGCTTGAGCCCATGTCTTGTAAGGCCTAATTGCATTGCTCTTTTCTCTGCATCTGAACCTCTATTGAGAAGCATTCCAATAGCGGATCCAAGACATTATGAATTGTAATCCTTGTCTGTTTTCTAATCTGACCACAGATCTTAAATGTGTTGGGTGTCTGAACAGAGGCCAAAGGGCTCAGGTCCAGGCCAACCTATCACATCCACCTTCTGGCATTAACCAGCAGACTCTATTATGCGTGGGAAGCAGGTGGGGCCCTGAGCACTGTGGGCAGAGCCACTTCCCTCTAATCTAATATTAGCAGGTTGTCCTGAGTGGGAGTTGCTTTGCAGGGTTCACCCCAAAACCCATCCCCCTCCAGGAACCTGAGGGAGATTTCCTCTGCGGATACCAGTAGCCAGAGGTTGTGTGAAAACAACAGCAAGTTAGATTCTACTTCTACCTAAGTCACCAAGTTCAAGGTCCTCTCCCCACCCTGTATCTCAGACCCCGCATTTGTCAAATGAGAGAATTGGACCAGATTTGTGCTTTTTAAACTTTCTGGGCTTCTGGTCTCCTTGAGAATATTTGATAAAAAGCTTTGGACCAACTTCCCATGGTAAAACAAACAACAACAAAAATACAGCTTACACTTTATCCTTCTACAGGTGATGTAGAACAATTCTTTTCCCTGAGCTAGACACCAGCAGAGGAAGTTCTAGATTAATTTAAGATATGATTTGAAATCTCTGCTATCACTTTTGCATTCAGATATCTGTGTAAACATTACTTCATCAGAGAAGCTTTCCAAACCCCCCAAACTAGATCAAGTTCTACTATTCTAAGCCCTTTTACTGCCCTGTAATTCTTCTTCAAAACACTTAACACGGTTCTAATTATCTTTTTAATATTTGTCTACTCCATTAGACTTACTTCGCCCCTGGCAGCTCAAGGTTCCCACAGCAGTGATCTCATGAACAAGGCAGCAGCTTCATGGCCTTTTTTGGTTGTTGTTTAATAGAAACAGGATCTCGCTCTGTCACCCAGGCTGCAGCGCAGGGCGCATAGTTCACGGTAACCTCCAATTCCTGGGCTCACACAATCCTCCTGCTTTAGCCTCCTGAGTAGCTGGCACTATAGGCACATGCCACCATGCCTGGCTAATTATGAAATTTTTCTGTAGAGATGGGAGTCTTGCTGTGTTGACCAGTCTAATTTCAAGCTCCTGGCTTCAAGTGATCCTCTTACCTCGGCCTGGGATTACAGGTGTGAACTATCATGTACAGCCTTCATGGCCTTTTGCACCTAGCCTGAGAAGTCACAGAGCTATCAGGAGGCGAGCCAGGCGAGGGTTTGCTATTCAAGAACTCCAGAGTATGGCAGAAGCTGGGCCTGCAGGAGTCAGTGGGGCAGCGTGGTGTCTGTTGATCTCATCGCACCTCCATCTCCTCATCTGTAAAAGGGAGCTCATAATCTTAGTTCATGGTTGTTTTATTGGACTGTGTAAAGATCAGATGAGATAATGGCAGTAGAATTCATAGCACCCTGCAGGGTGCATTCAGCCAACATTTACTGAGCGCCTACAATATGCCAGGCGCTAAGGGTTTTACCACCACTGTCTCCTTAATAATACACTATAGCCCAAGAAGGAAGATGCAAGTCTCAGCCAGCCCACGTGAGGACCCAGCTGAAATGAGCCACCCCGGGGGCTGCGCTCGGGCTGGCGGGCGCCGGGACGGAAAGGGG